ATAGCGGTCTGTGTAGAGTAGGATCTGCCCTGCGTGCTAACGCTGATCGACTACGAGAGAACCGTTGACAGCGTCAAAACGAATGCAATCTAATCACCTTTCGTTGACAGTGGACACGTTCAGTACAAGAATTAGCGGACAGTTTTCATAGACAAAGTAAAGACGACGATCAAAGAAATCAACGAAGCGGGAAAAAAGTTTGGGCTGCCTACAGGAAGCACGGAGGTTCAATTCACGAAGAACCCGTAGTGCAAAGATAAACAAATTAATTTGGATGGTTCTCTGATTACGAAAACTACTTCGTACGTTTACCTGGGACAGTTAATGAACATGGAGAACACCGTGGAGGATCAGTTATATTGATGAAAGAGGGTGATATGAGTAGCATTTAAGCCACACGAAGAGGCCACGGCCAATAAACGAACCCAAAACTCTGAGTTCGCTTTCTCGATTCAAAAGTATGAGCAAAGACGTTTACCGATACCTCAGCCACGCCAAGAATGCTTCGCGTCACCTAAAGAGCACTTGAACGTTGTCTCCTAAAATTTAACCAACATCCAGAACACCTAACCGGTATGCACAGCTTAGATCTTTAAAATTTATCCCAGCTTGAGGATCCAGAAAAATACATGTCGATAGCAAAAAAATAATGACAGATAGACGAAAAGTATAGTGGAGTGGACTCTACGAAAATGCAAGCATCCTCATAGAAGACCAAACAAACGATGGTCGGGCATGTTCGTGGCTAACATCGACCATCTATTTATTAGGCGATGAAAACACTTGTAGAAATTCGGAATAGGCCTTCTAGAAGTCATCATGCTCGAAACAGACCGCCACCATGGACGCCGATTGTTCGAAAGAGAAACGAATGGATATTGTGATAGGGAACGTACAGCCAGTGAAGACGGGCCATCTAAGCATCCAAGTGTCCTCTAATTCAACAGCGAATTGCTTCTTCTTAATTGAAAGATAACAGGCTTTTGCAAGAACGTGGAAATGTTTTAAGGCAAAATTTTGAATGTGACAATAAGACCGAGAGACAAAGACGTAGATAAGCAGACAGACAGACCGATAGAGAAGAAGACAGAAGGAATTCAGTTGTGATCAACGAACACACTGCGGGATCATTTGTCACAAAAATATTTCTAAACAATGTTATCAATTTTTATTTACTGCCTACTAATTTTAATGGCAGGGTATTATGTGAAATATAACCACATTGTTGCCGGGATATTTGCAAAACTCCGGACCACTAGTGTCTGGGGTGGGGACAGGACACGCTACTACCGTTTCCGAGGGCTTACGCGCTCACCACCATGCAGGTCCTTCGTTTCGCATGTCTCCCAGCTAATAAAATATAAATGCTGATATAGATTAGGGCTGCACTTCTTGATTTCAATGCACAGGCTTTTTTTTCGCCTACTTTACCGTACCTGGCTTTCGTGGCAGCCTTTGTATCCAATCGACAATATGCTTTGAAAAATTGTCACGATTCATCGAAAAACTGAAAGCGCAGTGGTGTAAAACGTTATTTTTGCCAGGCAACTCGTTATTTCGTTCTCAGCAGCTATCGTGCTGTTTAGAAATAAATGAGCCTTCTAGAATATTTATTGTTTTAATGTATTTTTTTACCACCAAATAGTCATTGTACCTTGCAACATCATACATCATTAGAAAGTTGATTTTATGCTTTTTCTTACCTTGTATTTTTACTTTGTCAAGAGTCAAACTTTTTTTTACTAGTTCTGAGCTTTGCAATTTTATACATCAAAAACGAATTTTCGTCAAGTTTTCTTTTCCGAGTTCAAAATCGGTCGTAGTGCAGCAGAGGCCGCTTGAAACACTAGTGAAGTTTGGAGTGAAGGTAGTGTTGATGAATCAACAATGCGAACATGGCTCTGGAAATCCCGATCTGGTAACTTCGATCTCAATCAAAAGGAAGGCCGCGGATGTCCCAGTGAACTTGACGACGACTTACTTAATTGTTCGAGGCTTACAGAACACCTTGGCGTAAGCACAAGAACAATTTTCACTTACTTGGGCGGCATAGCAAAGACAAAAAATTCGAAAAATAGGTGCCGCACGAACTGAAAGATAATAAAAAAATTGTCGTTGTGAAGTGTCTCCTCATCTTATTCTGCGCAACAAAAACGACCGTTTCCTTTATCGAATTGACCGGCGAAAAAGTACTGCCAACGAATCGAAGAAAAGTACACCGTGAACTGCAACAACAACGATCGATATTAGTCGACAGAAAAAGACCAATCTTTTTCCACGACAACGCCTGGCTTCACGTTGCGGAACCAGCGCTGCAGAAGTTGAACAAGTTGAGATACGAAACGTTGCCTCATTTGCCATGATTATCAGGCCTCTCGCCTACCGACTATCACTTTTTCAAGCGTCTTGACAACTTCCTGCGCGCGAGATGCTTCACCAACCACGATGACGCAAAGAGTGCCTTCAAAAAATTCATCGCCTCCGGAATTCTAGAATTTGCGAAACTGGAATAAATAAACTTGTTCCCCGTTGGCAAAAATGTCTACATTCAAATTGTTTTGTTCTGATTGATAAAGTTTCGCTCAAAACAAGTTATGGAATTTTAAATAATATAGTTAAAAACCCTTCTTTTTCAACAATCTAGTACAATGAATCGAAGGGGTTGGTGCAGCGCAATGGGATGAGGCGCCCTACAAAACACATCAGATCGATCCCGAGCCCTGGGCTCACCAAGTCAGCCATCTCTCCGGTATCGGAAAATTGGCACCCGACTTGGTTGGGAGGTTGGCAGCAGTAGCTCCATACATTGGTAGGCCACCGCGAGTCGTTGTAAAATCCAGATATGCATTCAGTGACCTCCAACACTGCTCACTGAAGTCCAATGTATAGCGCATCCCTAAAAGATTGATTAGCTCCGAGAGCTTTATTCTTTTATAGCAGCAATGCGCAATAATGATAAGCAGTGATAGTCGGTCCAGCGATTAAGTTCAATGGGGCACAACAATGAGATCATCAATCAGATGATAGGTGTTCTCGGTAAAGATTCTGAAATACGAATATAATATAACAGTTTTCTTGAAGTGCGTGCACTTAGAATACATTCACTAACACTAGCAAGAAGAAATGGAGGAATTGTTAGCACCCACTTGAGTCAATTAACGATCAACGAGCGGAAAGGTGATATAGGTGCACACACTTAGCTCGAGTTCCCTTCTATATCTTCAAGAATCACAGCTTTCATCGTCAATTTCAACAGTTATTCATTAGAATTTAGAACATTCCAAACAGAAGCGGCACTTCCTGGTGATGGTTTGGGAAACACGAGAGAAATTCCTCTAAATACTTTGGCTTTGGCGTGTCAATATTTCACCAGTCTTCTCTACGTAGGCAATTGCTGCCTTGTAGTCACTTCATTTATGAACTAATTGTGAAAACAGATGCGAATTAACTAAACAGCCGTCATATCCCTGAACTCGTTTACTGAACTCCACTGGATTACTGTAAAACGTGAAAAAAAAGCTTAGACTTCGATTAGTTTAAGACGACAACATCGGAGCGGACTTCTTTCACTGCAATTACAAAAACACCTTCAGCAGTTGTCGATTTCTAGAGTCTAGGCACCCACTGAATTTCCTGGATAGAGAAGAGATCTTTTCAATTTCAGCGGCAGGATAATAAAAAGACAAGTAACAAATTAGCTGCATGCTCCTCACACTGCTCATGATCACCGACTTCACCACTAAAAGTTTGGTTGAGTGCAAGCGAAATGGTTCGTTCCCACATCGACACGCTACATTCACACGCAAAAATGCTGGATACTATTGCAGGCTCATCATCAGGCTGAACGATGTGTGTAAAAAAAATAGCAATGATGCATCGTCACCGTTATGCCAACACAACCTTCCACCTATTGAAAAATGTCCTTTTCTTTTGAACGTTGACATCTTCTTCTCAGAAGCTTTCTAGGATAGTTAGTGGTAGTGTTAAGCACCGCTATTTTATCAACTCGCTTGTCGAGATGCAAAGAATATGTTCTATTGTGGATAAAAAAACGGGTAAAGCTCTCCGTGTTGATCAACCCCTGACGGAAGCGCCATGCATTCGACTTCATTAAATATCGTTAAAGGTAACTGAATGCTTGTCTGGCCTTTACAATGACTTCCGGCGGCTTACCAATGTATGGAGCTAGTGCTCCGATTCCCCCAGACAAGTCTGGTACCAATTTGCCGACCCCGAGAGATGGAAAGCTTTGAGGGCTATGGGCTCGGGGTCGAGTCTGCTTATGTGTTGCACGGTGCCTCCAACCACTGTGCCACACGCGCCCTATCGTGAAATAGATTAAACTCGGACTAGTAATTGTATGCGTCTCCTTTATAAATCAATTGAAATGGACTGTTGATACGAGAGATCAGCACATCGACTTACGGTAAAGAATTCCTGTGTGATAGTTCATTGACTGTCCGTTCATACGTCTTTCTTACTAGCATTGCTACCACTTACTTGCTTAAGATTTTATGTCATTCTTCTAAGAACGCAATTTTTCAAAGATTTACACCGAATTTAATGTCTTTGAATTGAAGAATGAGATCATTTCCAACGTCAGCAACAGCGAAGCACTGAATCTACCCCAGATTCAGCAAACAAAAGCACAATGCCCTCAAGAGATTCGGTCACGAAGCGACTAATATTTTTATTTACTCTGCAACGTCATTGAAGAAAACTTTAAAAATACAACTAAAAAGTGGTAGGAGACAGAAAAAAACGACGAAAACCTGGACTGAAATGGTAAGCTGTCACCTATAATTCATTCATAAATTATCTGGTCACATTCCATTCCATTCATTCACTTAATCATTCACTCACTCAGATAGCATCTGCTTTTATCACATCAGTCGGTGCTATTAATCGCCGAGTTTTCCAAAAATTCCAACTCGAGGCGGTGCCTTCGGGTGTGTAAAATCCACGGTCACTCGCTGACTTGGCCCCCTCCTCCACCGTTCATGGACGTCGCCGTGCTCAGGTGAACTAATGACTATTTTTGATTAGAATTTCAATGTCTAGAAAGTTATGTCATAACTACTTCACAAACATATATTTACACATTTGTACTGCTAAAGTCTTTTGTAGTTGAGAAAGGGAAAGAAATTCGCACACCAAGTATGAAAAATCATTGAGGGCTCGGGCTATCGCGGTTGCTGCTTCCATTTTTGGATTTTTCTCCAAATTCATTATTCCAGCAGTTACCTTAAATTCTGTGTCATTGTTTGTTACTTTATATCCATCCACATACCCACGCAAACACCTGGATATTTGTTTGGGTTTCACCGTGTTTCGCCTACATCAGTTGTTCTTTTACAGAGCTAAACCTCTTATGGAAAATATCGACCTCTTTTCTTGTGCTTGTCATTGTTGTATGAATTCCACACGAAGCGAAAAAACTCTGTTTTGTTTATTTTGAATTTGTTCTTTAAACTGTTTTCTTTTTTTTTCATTACACCGACACCGTCAGCAAAGAAAAGAAGAAAATGGGTGAATAAGCTAGCTGATGAACTGTTATATCCAGAAACAGTTAACATGGGAATGCATAGGACTGAGCAAATTAGAGCAAAGCATTGTTTTCGTAATAGCCAGAATTTTAGATGAGAGACAATGAAGACCACGTTTGAGTGATTATGTATTTCAACGGCATTGGGTCATTTGAGGACGCGAAAATGTTTGCCACATCTGGTTGATTGGCATCTTAACAACCATTGCGAAAAATACTAACCGGTCACTCGAAATCGCCTCAAAGTTAACGAATTAGCACCTACCGACATTTAATGGGTTTTTGAAGGATTCTGTAAAAATCAGCCAATTAAGCATAATCTATGGAAAAAGTAGATTACTAGTGTAAGCGAAATATTTTGAATGTTTCTTGAAATAATGAACGTTTCCCATCCTTTTCTGAGCCCTCAACTTCACACCTTTTTCACTGCACGTATGGCCTATATGGAGGTTTTTCCAATCCTGAATGCCTAAAAATATACCGTCTTGAGCTAGAACTAAATAACCTTGTAATTCAAAACAGCGAGAAAACTATACCACAGTGTTAAGGTATCTTGAACCGTCGAAAACCAGTCAGGATGAGGACCTCTTCGAAAACCGTATCTGGATTCCGGATCCAGATGTTGGCTATCGACTTGCCTCGGTACTTGACGATGGCCTTAGAGATATATTGGTCGGATTTCGTGATGATCAAGGGTTCTTTGAAAAGGTCTGCAGTCTTTTTTCTTTAATTACCTGAATTAGAGGCACACCATGTTGTCATGGATGCATCGAATCAGAAGGAATCCTGTAGTGCTGCTATGTCGTTGATAAGTATGATCCTAGCTAAAAACCCATCTCATTTCCACACCATCGAACAAAAAAACCATGTATGCTCCCGTGGCCAAAAGCTGGAAGCGGAGCAATGTTTCGAGTCCGAACATTTACTTCTTTTTGAAAAATTAACTTTCTGACCGCGATTTATTCTTTGATTTTGATGTATAATTGAAAGGCTGCACTGAAATCACAAAACCCCAAGCCATTGGGTGATGATGTCACAAAGACAACAATGGAAACGTGACACAAGTTGCTCAAATATAGAAGTACCCGAATTATCGGCGGAGAGCTCTTTCGTAGGTCATTGACAAAATGGTATTTATATATACTAGAGATAATCTTTGGGTTAATCTTTTTACTTGTAGCATTCCTACAACACTATTGGTGCTTATTTTAAGTGTACAATCATAAGGTTTACTTCGATTTCGAAGATATATGAGTAATTCGCAGTTTTAAGTAACGAAGTATAAACGCTACAAATTATTCTGCCCCTCTTTTTTTTTTAAAACAGCTTAAAGCTCCTTGCCTGATACCTTTCATCAACACCTGTTTTTCAGAAAGATTATAGGAACAGTGGTGTAGGATGTTGCAGTAGCACCTCGCTCTCATGCAAATGCTTCCGTTGGCCAGAAAAAAGTTTCCTTAAAAGGCGTTGTATTATTAGAATTTTTCGTTTTTTTGTTTTTACCTATTTTCTTTTAACAGCTAGGTCTTTTCAACTTTTTTTCCACATTGCTTTTTGGAGCACAAGCATTTCTGTCTTTATTCTGCAAATATTCACTGTTGCTACATTACTACTTTCTTAATCATAGTCATAACAAAGACGTTGCACATGTTCATAGAAACGGAAGAATGCAAACAGAAAGTTGCCCTGCTCTTTTGGAGCGACGTTTTCTTTCAGAAAATTGATACGGTGCAATTGCGAAGTGCCTTCACCCCATCGTCTCGCCTTCGCCAATTTTTTTTTTTGCTAAGAGACGCTAAGTGAAGAGACAATAGCTTCTAAGCTACTCAATTTCTTTTCCTACTCACCTCTACTCTTAACTGTTCAGATTCAGTAATTCTTTCTACTTCTGTTCAGCAAACACGAGATGTTGCTTTATTTCTGTATTTACGTACAAGCTGACATTTCGGCGGATTTCGCCTTCCTCAGAGCCTGGAAAGGCCAAGTTGACTACAATCTACACGGCCAAACACCTCCATAACCAAACAGAGAAAATGCTGAATCAAAATTTCAACCACATTTAACACAGTCTTTGCACACTCAACACTTTCTATGAGTCTTCGACTAAATATGTCACGTGGAGAGCAACCGCACAGAGTTCACACAGGATCGTATTGTGCCCATCTCATCAAAATAACAGGCTTTTATGCTGCCAGATCAGACCAAATTCAGTCACATTTTTTGATGCAGCACTTTCATAAGTAATTTCAAATATCTCAGACGTTATTCTACGGCAACATCGGTAATACCCAACGAAAATGTCGGCTTTTATGGCTGGCGAAACTGCCTTGCAGCTTTGGAGTTATAACAATAATTTCGAAGAGTAATCCATTAAATCAGTTCACTTTGACTCTGACCATGAAATTGCTTGTACTTTGCTCGTCAGATCAAGGGATCGTTTATAAGGCATAACCACCATTTGTTGAACAACTCGTTATGAGTCAGAACAGAAATTGAATTCGGTAAGATCTATTGTTGGTTGTGGGTTGATTTGTCTCTATTCACCTAACACTGTGTATCAATCATTCATTAACGCTTATCATCGAACGTAGTGTGTTCTTCTCGGCTAGTTCGAAAGATCACGATAGCGGCAGCGAGCAGCCAGCAGCTGCTGCTTCTGCTGGCTGCTGGCTTAGCATCACGGAAAATCGCTCCCAGCGATGTGACGAGAATCGTTGGGATCCTCATGTGTAATCTGAATCGAAATGTATCTGCGACGAAATCGCTTACATAGGCGTGCTCATGTAAACTTTTCATAGAGTTCGTTAATCCCTAAATGCTTCTTTTTCTGGCTAATCTGTAGTGAAAACAACTCGGTATCACTTTGCATTGCTTTTCCTGAAAGTGCAGTATTTCTCGATCGTTTCTGTCCCCCTTTCTGAAGTCAGAGTTTTTAGTTTATGTGTGCAGTAGAGTGAAAATCGATATATGGGACTTATGTGCTAGTTCACAAATTAAATAGTGTTGCACATGGATATTTAGTTGGCTTACCTTAGCATGTAAGTATGGTTGTCACCAACTGTTCTTCTATTCTTTTCGTTGTATTGTAGCCGTCATCCATGGAGACCGCTGACATTGAATTTGGGCTTCTGCACTCATCACGACGTTAGATGATCATCGAATGTTGTTTTCTTTGAAATCCAGAGATTTCAAGGTCTACACAGAAAGTCAACGGTCCTTTCGGTTGAACAGGAGATTTGCAGCCTCACAATTAGGGTTTCCGTGGAGTAGCAGCTAAACTACGACGAGTTATCCGATAGAACTCTTGTCTAGAACTCTCAGCTTTCTGTTTTCCTTCAGACTTTAGAAAATCCTCTCAATGACACCTTAGGAAACTCACAGTCAACTGAACCTGCAGCATCTTTGAAGTTTTTCTTTTTTTTTTTGCAATCTCTTAGCTGAAAGGACAAGGCAAGTCACAAAAGGTATTTCGACTTTTCATCAAGCAACATTTTGCATTATCAATGAAGACATTAGACTACTGCTTTATTCTGTTTAAAAATGTGATCATGCAGGAATTCTAGAAAACGGATGTCATTCGTCAGGTGTTGTTAGCGAAAGCTTGTATGTGCTTCCGTTCTTTGATAAATCATGCCGAGCTGCACTTCGCCGATGCTCGTTGATGAGGAAGGGATCGGTGGGCGATGAAAAGCCAATGAATATTTTCGACGACAATTCGTTGCTGCCATTAACAACTCACTTGTTTTCTGTTTGCCACCAGAATTCCAAACTGAATCGAAATAACGAGATTTTAGACAAAGTTGATTTTCCATTTTTGGCCATTTAAATGGAAGAAATGGCTGAGTGCGCAAAAGATATGGTGAGAAGAATAAGAAAAGGTCTGAAGATGCGAGAATAAACGAAGACTAGTCATAGCTATGATCCGAGATGCGTAAAGAAAGGATGTGAGCAAAAAAAAAAATAACATTATGTCTCAATGTATGTGACGAATTCTAGTTGGGATTCCAAGGGATTCTAACCCTAAAAATTGAGATTTCTGAATTGAGGCCATAAAGGGCTATAATACCATTAAAAGCATCGATTTTAGAGGAATGCTAAAATGTTCAAATGACAACTTTCGGAAACAAAATGGTTTCCTGCCAGCGCGGAGCTTTTTTAATATTGAAAAATATCGTTATCCTTAATGGTCCTTGGATACTACACTAATCTGATTCCTTTAATTCCTTAACCTTAACTCTTTATGTTTGCAATATTATTGTAGGAACAGGTGCAAAAGTAAACACGCTGAAGTTTTGCGATTGCGATGATCAACTCGACGAAGAATAAAATTAACTGCTTAAGGTGTAAAAATGAAAACATTACGTGGGATATTGAAGTCACTAAGATTCCATGCCATGTTGTTCCATCACCATTCCAATCGTATTACGGTGTTCCATCTCATAAAAAGTCCCATACCACACAAAACAGCCTCGTTGACGTCTTTCGCACAACTGTTGCCTTTTTTCGCTTTTCGTTTTGCTGACAGCCTTTCTTAGCACCACATAATAGCTGCAGAAAGTGGTTTCTGGTGTTCTCACGCTGCAGATCTCAGCTATTTGCAGAAACGAATAGCTCGAGATGAATGCGAACCGACGACGTTGAACTCGTTGGCATCTGACCTCTGCCAACTTACCGAACCAAACGCGGCTACCGTATTAGACTCGCTTACGAGGAGATATCAACAAAATGTGATTCATGTCAGTATTTTTCAAATTCTTTTCTTCGTAATTGTATTAAAAGAGATCTACAGCAAGTGTAAACGTTAGCAATTTACTTAATAACTGATTAAATAAGTTTCATTGATATCAACTGGCATGAAGATATTACACCTTAAGAAGTCCAGTTGAAACAGAGCTGAAATAGTAATGAGAACACTGAGTGTTCATTCAAATCTTTCTCTTTTCATCTCTTCCTAATTGCAAAATCATCGAAGATTTGGTGTGTTCTTCTCTATTTTGTGTAACTTTTAAAACATCGAAAGTGCATTCAAGCACTATTCTACCTTAAAATGATAGAAGATTATCCATCATCACAAGCACGTTGTTGCTTCGATCTCGCTCCGGCCTCACCTAACTCCTCATCCTTCCGAGGTCGGAGAATTGGTACCGGACTTATGCGGAAAAAAAATCACTCTCTGCAATCGAATGGGAGCGCTCTAACCCGGCTGTCTCAGGCTGCAGTGAGAATCGACTTTGCCACCATTCAACGACACTCATGGTGAAAGAAAAATTCTCAAGCAGCTGCCAAAGCCACGCGTAAAAATTGGGAGACCTTCGTAAATGTTGGTGCAAGGAAAAGAATCGAATGTGAGAAATTCTGGGATCCGCACAGCAAATGTGAAAGACTGGTCATATAAAATAGGATGAACAGGTTTATCCTCTATTGCCAAAATATGTGGTGTTTCTCCTTCAACCTAACATGTCATTTGGGCAAGTTAAACTCGTACTGAAGTAAACTCGTGTTTTATAGGCTTTGATTTGGTATCTGGGCCAAGCGGTTGTAGTCTGAAAGCCTCCTAGAGGGAGGACTAATCCTAGCGAATTGATTGTTGAAACATTCTTGCTCATCTGAAGGACTGACTTTATCGTGTTAGGTTATCGTGAAGTTCATAAAGTTCCATTTTACGCTAACTCATCAGGAACTATTATCGCTCAAAAGAATGAGCGCGTGATGGCACTTGATGGTGTAAGACACATTCGCGTATGTTTCCGGAACGCATCGCTCCGTTCAACTGTGGACGCCTCACTCTGGAAAAGCGAACAGGCGTCCGTCTTGATGGCCAGTTTTTCGTTCGGGCGTCAGATCAGTGCATAATAGCGTAACGTTCTGGCGATCTGTGATAATGAAACTCTAAACCACAATGGAATCATTTTTCAGTGTACAAAATGTTTATCGAAAAGTGAAACATAAAACGAAACTCTGTACCAAAACCACTACTACGAAGGCGGCAACTATCATGCTATGTTATATGGACCTCTTTTTCACTTTGTTATATAGCAGTTAAATTTTATGTTCCCTATTAAACTTTATTCCAACATTTATCGTTGGTTTAGCACTTAACAACTGCTGACGGTTCTCCTGGGAATCGAAGTTCAATTTCTTTCACTATCTCGTCTTTTCATCACAGTCCCCAAGGTTGTGAACTTCGAAGTTTCATTCCGGAAATTGGGTTGAGAGTAGCCCAATCCTAAGAGAGATTTGTGGCAGCTATTCATCGCTAGTACGTCGTAGGACAGAGCACTGATGGGGCAACGGTCGGAGGCCCCCTGCAACGCACACGTGGAATCGATCTCCGCGCCCATGGTTCACCAAGCCTTCCACTCCTCCAGAGTCAACAAATTAGTATCAGACTTGTTTGAGAGGATAGCTGCACTGGCTAGGCACATCAGTAGGCGACCGAAAGTCATTGTAAATGCCAGATATGCATTTTGATTGAATAATCATCTCCAAACGATGCTTGATGAAGTCAAATGCATGGCGGATCCCTCAGGGGTTGATCAACGCCGAGAGCTTTATCCTTTTATCTTGCAAGGAAAAACGATTTAGAAGGAGCAACAATGCACGATTCAGGGTCTCTGGTTCGTCACAAGAACCAGTGCGATTTACTGGATCACCTCTCTGCCTGCGTTAAATATAATTTGGCGGTAAATGGAATAGATGATGTAGGTAATTATTCTCATTTCCATCTACTTAGTCCTGCTTCCTGACTACCTTTTGTTCACTTTTTAAGTCCTTTTTTACTTTTTATATTTTGTGTAGAAAGCCGCAATAATTATTCTATACATCTATACCCAAGGAGCTTCGCGAAACGCTGTTGAAGCGAACTTATAAAGAAGCTACAATTACAAGCGAGTCTTGAAAACCATCGTAAAAATAAAGACCTATAAAACCGGTACAATTATTGTACGAAACAAAATAAGACAAAAGATATGAAAAGTTATCGATGAAAACCTATATGGTGTTGTGGAAACCGTTACAGACTTACTGTGGATTGTTCTGTGTGGTGTTGAATCCATGGCGAAGATTGCCGATCTACGAGACTGAAGTGATGTCCACATATCGAAATGGACTCGCTGACGGGTACCCTCACGTCTACGTGGTCGCCCAAAGCGCTTATGATGGTATTCTTAGAGGTTAGACATTTTCGTAACAAAAGCCTCAGAAAAAGAACTGGAAAGCGCCAATACTGAGAATGTGAGATTGTGAGAAACGAACGTTGGTAAAAAGTACTAGGGAACTTGGTGGCGTTAGTAGTGGATTGATGTGGTTTGGAATCACTAGCGAAGTAGGCATTAAAACTTCGAGAGATATATATTTTTTCCTTAAAGACGCTTCGCCGATTAATTTACTTGTTTTTGCAGGTGGTCGCAATCAGTCAATTCTAATCACGTATGTGCTTTCTTTTCATTCTCCTAATGTATTCGTAATACCTTTATGATTTCCAACCAATCCATGCTTCTGTGGATTTCAGAGGAGAGTCTGGTGCTGGTAAAACAGAGAATACAAAGAGAATTATTGAGTATGTGCTACAGTGTGGCGGTAGTACAACTGACGAGGTGCATCCTCTGAGAAATGGGGTCCCGAATGGAAAAGCGCTGAGCGGCCGTTCAATAGGAAGTGGTGTTCTATCGTCCGGTATACTTCTCGAGGCGTTCGGTAATGCTAAGACAACGCACAACAACAATAGCTCAAGATTTGTGAGTGTATTAAGTGGAAGCGTCATGAGAAATTGAGAGCACCACATGGACATGTCGAGTCCATGTGTTGGTGTGTAGTTTTACTTCCTTCTGAATGAATATTTTCAGGGAAAGTTTATTCGAATCGAATTTGATGAGAATGGACAACTGCGGTCTGCGCAAATTGAATGCTGTAGGTCTTAATCAACTGTAGAACACTAGCTTAAATATTTTCTTACATGATTACTTACCTACTCGGGTACTTGGACGGCGCATCCTCAATGGTTGTGTGGGCTCCAGCATATTCTCCGCTATTCGGAGTTTTGGTGGATTAGGATTGTGTTTCCGTGGAGTCCCGAGGTCAATCTGACCAAAGTCTGCACCAGGTCGTCTCCACCACGGGCAATCGCCGTCCTAGATAGATCAGGGGAGCTTTCCCACCATACTACTAGCTTGGTACCAGGATGGTGGTCGATTCTGGTATTGGTTTACTCTTAGCTTGGCTTCCTGATGGAAACGCAGAACTCTTTGTCAGCTTGGGAGACCCTGCCAGGGAATGAATCCCCCGCTGTATATCGCAGCTCAACACCCTCCCAGCCACGATGAGGCGGCAAACCGTTGGGAGGTTCTTAGATGATTAAGCTAATAAACTGAGCTACTAACTAAAAATATTTTAGAGGATCTGAGCTCTGAATTGCACTTTTAGATCTTTTGGAAAAATCGCGGGTCGTCAACCAGAACGAGGGAAATCGAAATTTTCATGTTTTCTACCAGCTTTTATCTAACGCATTCCCGCATGAAATGCGTGAAAAACTATTACTCACTAAATCGGCGAGCCAATACAAATTCCTTAATCAAGGCGGCGTGTCGATCGATAAGGAGATCGACGATGTTGAAAATGGTGTTTCAACTGATGTGAGTCTTATATAGTTGTCAAGTATACACAGCTTCGACTGCATTAGACATAGAAGCACCAAATCGACCGATTATGTCTATCGAAAAACGGCGAAAATCAGTATGCACCCTTTGCTCGCTTTCGCGGCAGCCGATATCCATGAATTCACTAAAACGCTTGCTTAAAATTATGTGTGGAATTGTCTGTATTTGTTTTAGAATATAATGAATAGTGTTCAGCGCGTCATGGATCGATTATCTATTACTAGTGAGGAAAAGATGGAAGTATACACTTTACTTGCCGCTTGCTTGCTAATCGGTGAGATCAAGTTCGGAGAGCGTAGCGGTCTTGATATAAGTTATGTGGACGGTAAAGCAGGTTGGTCACTTTCAAAACCGCCTTTTCCTTCTGTTTAACCCTTTTAGTCCCGGCGCCGTTTTTCATGGTGCGCCTTATCGAATATGAGCAGCTTTTCGTCGGTTACGCACTTTCTGGTTTCTTGACAATAAAAAATCTTTTCCCAATAAGAAACGATATTTATACTACTATTTACTATGTGTTACTGCGGTCATAATGCAAATGTATTGCTGTCAGTATTTGGAAGTGTTTCTCAGCTTATGCTGAGTCTAGTTCGGTATCCTCGTGTCGGCGTATTCCATGGAATAGCCATTGCGATTAAAATAAAGTAACAATAAATTTGCAAAACTCCGGACCGCAGGTGTCTGCGGTGGGGTACGATTGCGTTATTGCCCCTTCCAGGGCTAACGCGTTCACCACCACACCATGTGGCCCCTTTGCGTCGCCTGTTTCCCAGGTAGTTCTAACGGTCAGTGCCATCAGCAACCAACTGGGTTTAGTGCCGATGTGGGCACCCTAGATCAACCCCTTTGACTGGTGCTCATGGCACTGATCGATAAAACTAGCTGAGAAACAGGCGAAACAAAGGACCCGCATGGTGTGGTGGTGAATGCGCTAGCGCTCTGAGAGGGTAATAGCGCGTTCGCTCGCCGCAGACACATGCGGTTCGGAGTTTTGCAAATATCTCAGCATCATTGTGGTTGTATTTCGCATAATACCCTGCCGTTAAAATTGCAGTAGGCAGAAAATAAAAGATAAACATTGTAACAACAAATTGTTTGTCAAATTATCGGTTAGTAAACTTTTCCGAGAAAAGCTTTTCTCTAAATCATTAGGTGTAAAGAGGTTTTTCTAGTCCCACCCCAATCATTTTGAACCTGATTTCGATTAACTATCCAATAAAAATGCGTAGTCCGGTAGAAAAAAATAACTCTGGAATCCACTGAAGTGAATATGGACCGTACTTTCCAAATGATCGCATAGTCCAAGCAGCTATGGACATTACAGTGTTTATAAGGAGCGGATTGAATTAAATGATTTTTTGTGGTCCTCATCGACTGCTAAGAACATCGCATTCAGAAATCGATGCAGTCACATCTCTACTCGGTGTGAAGTCAAGTCGCCTAGTGGATGCACTTACACAGCCGAGCATACGCGTTGGTGATAAAGTGATCAGAAAAAATCAGAATATGCAAAAGGTATAGCATTTTTCGCTGCTCAATTGATTCAGTAAGAATAATGCATGCTTATCACATACGTTGTTAGAGCAGGATTTAGTTGGTTCCATTTCAAAAAATATCGAGTCCAACTGGTTGAAATCGTCAGAGGCTTTAGTCTCCAACACGGATTTTCGATGTAATGGACAAAACCAGTGCCCATTAAGATCTCCTACTGGTCATCTCCAAGACCTTGCATTAGTTTCCGTTTATCTGAAGTAGCATCACGACAAATATCACTATTAAAGCTTTTCCATTTATGAAGCTGCCTTTCGACTAAATCTTTTTTTCGTTTTTGACACATTATCATGATTAGTTCTTCAATAAATAGATTCATCTGTAATTTATCGACTCGGTCTTGTTGAGTGACCGGCAACGAAAAGGCTAGACTTCATCGGAACAAGCTCTATAGAGTAGACGCTACAATGCTACTTATTGCAGTCAGTTTACTCCGCAGCTGCACTTGCCAAGGTGTTGTACGAACGCTTGTTCCGATGGTTGTTGGACAAGTGTAACGACGCGATCAACGTGAACACAAACATGGGTGAGTGTCTTCGTTGTATGCCTTTTTTGATGAAAACACCGTAATATTATGGTGCCAGGAAAAGCACACTCAGAAAAATTCTCGTTGTAGTTGATAAGCCGATGGGACCTTAGCCCATTCGGCATCAACCATTAACAGTGCTATGGGTTTACTGCTGTGGAAAAGGGATATCAAGCCCAAAATATTCGGCAAACTTCGTCAAAATTCGATTTGCCGTTTTTAAGCGCAACTTAAACAGTTTCTATCCATCCACAAAATGAGACTGAAATGGACTGGAAACATAGGAGACCTGAACTTGCTGGTGACGTAATTTATGTTTTCTGCACAACCGAAGTCAGTTCATCCGACGTGTACCATAACGGTGATATATATCCGCACACCAGTAATAAATAATAAAATACAACGTAATAAATGCACATTTTCAACCCATTATATTCCACTGATCGGACCGGTTAGAATCCGACAAAGTCTAAACCCTGACGTGTAACTGTTCAACGGTTGTCATAGGAAAACCGTAGACCAATCGAACAGCAATTCGTCAATGAAAAAGTACGGTATAACATCTTTTTCTCCAGCTTCATCTATTTTCCAATACACTTTATATTTCCATGCTATCAGTAATTGTTTCTTTGGAGATCTTTTGATTTTGATGCATAATTTGTATTCTACTGTACATAAAATGGTGAAAAAATGTATTGGAGTTATCTGGAAACCCATAAATCTCGCCGGCATCTAAAAAATAGAACGCTGACATAGAACGTATTTTATGTGAGTTACCATTAATTATAATATTGAAAGAAATCAGGGCACGTGTGGCGTAGTGGTTGGAGGCGTCACTGCAGCACACACGTGGAATCGACCCCTGCGCCCCATGGCCCACCAAGCCTCCTTTCAGGGTCGGTAAATTGGTACCAGACTTGTCTGGGAGGATAGCAGCACTAGCTCGATATACCGGTAGGCACTGCGAGCCATTGTAAAGGTCCGATATGCATTCAATCACCTCCAGCGATACATATTGAAGCCGAATGCGTGACGCATCCCTCAGCGAATGACAACGCCGAGAGCTTAATCCTTTTATCCTTTATTGACGAAATCGTCGTGTTGTGTTGAAAACTTCCATTTTTATGGCACGCAGATCAGCACTTCAGAAATTTGTGGCGTACGGTAGGAGAAAACTTGAAATCACATCCGGTGATAATCCAAACAGTAGCACAGTACTACCTTCCATTTTTAAGCAGTATTGGGGGTACTTGGTGGTATATTTCCGTATAAAACCATTTGTCGGTTTTAGGAGTGTATTTGACATCAATTAATGTGCTTTAAAACTCGCTTAAACTAAAACTTAAAAATAAAACGGTAATCTTATTGTTTGTTTTTCTTCAAATCAACAACCAATCAGTTGATCAACAGCGTTAAAGTTCAACAATAAATGTTCGGACGAGCTTTTGCCAGTGCTCGTTCATCACCACCAATGATTGACCACCTGTCACGTCTTACTGTGAAAATGCGCATTCTTATCCCATCGTTTTTTTTATAAGAAGAAAGGGGAAAAAGCGTTAAGCTGTCGTTAGAGGATTTAAACAAGACGCAGAGGTCTACAGAAGAACAACAAACTAAATAAGTTGTGTAATGTCCTAATCTTTGCTGGAGCAAAATCGCCAGCATAACGGCGTTGCAATTTGGTCGATTTTAAAGTTCTTAATTAATGTAGATACTATAATGGTGTTAGACGTGAAATAGTGAGAGTTGTCGCACAGGGCGCCGGTTCGACTCCTCACCAAACTAATCAAGCCTGACATCTCTCTGGTGCTGGGGAATTGGTACTAGACTAGGCTAAAAGTTTGCTTAGATTCGCAAAGCATTGTCTTAAATAAACAAGGCAGAAGTTCCTAGAACAACAGCAAAGTCTACATGGAAAAATTTAAAGATCTTCGCCGATAACTGTTAAAAGAAAACTAGTCGAATGGAAGATTTGCGGAGAACCACTCAATATGTGACATCGGGTCGTGTGACATAGGTTGAAAATAGTTCCCAGGATCTACTTTCTATTAATCTCAGCATTGGAATATGAATGTGTCGTTTTCTTGTTCAGCAATCGCGAGGTTGTTAAGCAGCATACGTTTACTTCCATAGAAAAACACACAATGCAATACAACAGTAGCTAACGTTTAGGCAGCATCGCCTTCTTCAGAGCGGCTTTTTACGTGACTTCCAATGAGAAAGATGAGAACAACTGATCATAGTCGCATATTAACCTTCCTCATTGAAACTCAAAAATCGTAAGAAGCCGCTGTAAAGAAGGCGATACTGCCGAAGCGTTAGCCACTATTGCATTGTGTTTCTTGTATGGAAGTAAATGTATGCTGTCTAACAACCTCGCGATTTGTGAAGCAACCATAATGATGCTGAGATATTTGCAAAGGGCCGGACCGCAGGTGTCTGCGGTGGGGAACGAACACGCTATTGTCCTTTCCGGGTAGTAACGCGTTCACCACCACACCATGCGGGTCCTTCATTTCGCCTGTCTCTCAGCTACTTCTAGGCAGAAAATAAAAAGTAAACTGTGAATTCAACTACAGCCTCAGCTTAACTTGGTTCAATGCTCATGTGGTCTCCCGGATCAATCCCGTTGACGGGTGATTGCTGATAGCAAAAGATTGATAGAACTAGCTGAGAGACAGGCAAAACGAAGGACCTGCATGGTGTGGTGGTGAGCGCGTTACTCCCCGGAAAGGACAATAGCGCGTTCGTTCCCCACCGCGGACACTTTTAGTCCGGGGTTTTGCAAATATCTCAGCAATCTTGTGGTTGTATTTCGCTTAATACTCTGCCATAAAAGTAAGAGGAGGCAGAAAATAAAAAGTAGACTTTCAATATTGTTTGTCAACCAATACCTCACTAAGCATGAAATGTCTAATTTTTGCACTGTAGATTTATCAAACTTTCCTCGTTTAACTCGTATGAAATGCTGAGATCTTTGCAAAACTCCGGACCACAGGTGTATGCAATGGAGAACGAACACGCGCTGTTGTCCTTACCAGGGAGCAGCGCGCTTCACCACTACACCATCCGGGTCCTTCTGGTGATTTCCTCGTTTAATCAAAATAGCCCGTCGTTTATGAATGTTTTCAATATTTTTGTATTCCACGGTGTTTTTGCAAACGTTTTAAGACTCACGACCTGCCCGTTCTACTGTCATGTTCGTGTGACTGATCCTGTTCAGCTTCAAATAGTTTCTTGTCGAATCGGTCTGGTTTCTTTTAACTGCTGCCGTTATCATATTAGTGTAGAAATAGTAATACGTGGTTACTGTAACTCTACTGTTGTGGCCTTGACCGATAATACGCATGTATCGTTTCCATGTAATGCTTTTTCAAGCTGCAAAACTCCGTACCACAAGTGTGTGCGGCGAGGAACGAACGCTTTTTTACCCTATCCAGGGGCTAACCCATTCGCCATCACACCAAGCAGATCTTTCGCTTCGCTTTTTTCTCAGCTATTTTCTGTCTAACAAGAACATCAGCAGTCACCCATTATTTAAAACGTTGAAGAGTTCTAGAATTCTCAGTATATAAGTTGGAGGATTCGAAGAAGGATTGGATCTCAAGTACTCGGTCAACTCTAAATGCTTCTTTATTTAACGAAAAAATCCCAAGAGGGCATATCTAGATTTGGTAAACAGAAAAATAATACCGTGCATTTTTTTCATAGTAGCTGGATCACACCTAATTTCCCTTAATACCTATGTGATGTTCTTTGTTATACTTCTACATTGATTTCAATTTCTAGTCACCAGTTCGATCACGAACCGTTTCATTGGAGTGCTCGACATAGCCGGCTTTGAAATCATGCAGGTGTGTAATTTTCTAAATTCTACATATTATATACCTTAATATGTACATACCGCCGAATAGTTTGCCACCTCATCGTACCTGGAAGATTTTCCTAGGTAACTACCAAGTCCGGCTTTCTATTAACCACGGCAATGATTGAATAATTCTTTCTACTTCTGTTCAGCAAACACGAGGTGTTACTTTAATTCTTCATTTACGTAGAAGCTGACGTTTTGGCGGATTTCGCCTTCCTCAAAGCCTGGAAAGGTCAAGTTGACTACAATGTACACGGCCAAACACCATAACTAAACAGAGAAAGTGCTGAACCATGATTTCAATCACACTGAACACAGAGTCTTTGCACACCCACCGCTTTCTATGAGTCCTCCACTAAATATGTCACGTGGAGACCAACCGCACAGAGTTCACACGGAATCGTATTGTGCCCATCTCATTAAAATAACAAGCTTATATACTTCCCAATACCACGCGTGATAATGAGGCATTCCTCCCTGCGGTTCATTTTCGGATTCTTGGAATTAATCCAGAATGACTCTAGAGTTTTGCGCACTTGTGTTCTCGATTCTTGCGCGAGGATCGTAACCCTTACT